GATACCACCTAACTCCAGTCAGAATGGCCATTATTAATAACTCAAAAAATAACAGATGCTGGAGAGGATGTGGTGAAAAGGGAACACTCCTACTTCTTCAAGGAACCAATTCTGTCAGTTAAACTTTATTTTTCCTACATTTTCAACCTATTCCTTTCAGTTGACTTCTTTCCTCAGAAGTATGCACAAATATTTTCTCATCTGTAAGAACAAATAACCTTTCTTAACTCCTTCTAGCCATTGCTCTTTTTCCTTTTGGTTAGAGCCCTCTGAAAAGTAGTTGGTTGGCTGGGCATGGTGGCTAGCACCTGTAAGTCTAGCACTTTGGGACACCAGGGCGAGAGGATTGCTTGAGGCCAGGAGTTTGAGAGCAGCCTGGACAACATAGTGAAATTCCCATCTTTACCAAAAGAAAAAAAAATTAGCCAGGTGTGGTGGCACATGCCTGTAACCCTAGCTACTCAGGAGGCTGAGTCAGGAGGATCATTTGAACCTGGGAACTCAAGGTTGCAGTGAGCTATGGTCACACCACTGTACTCCAGCCTGTGTGACAGAGTGACACTTTGTCTTTAAAAAAATAGAAACAACAACAAAAATGTAGTTGACCTTTCCTATTAGTACTTTTTTATCTCCCTTCACCCTTCAGCCCTCTGTGATCAAATTCCCATATAAGGTACTATTGCTCTTGCTGAGGTCACTCATGATCTTTGACTTGTTACCTCTAAGAATCACGTTTTCATCTTTGCTCTATTTTTATCTCTCTGTTACATTTGGCACTGTTGACCCTTTTTTCTTTGAACCCTTTTTGTAGTCTTGACTTTAATCCAACTACTCCGTCCTGTCTTTTTCTACCTTTTGGGCTTCTTTTTAGCAGGCTGACTACTGTAAGTAGTTTTTAAGGTCTTTTCTCACTTTTGGTCTCTGCTTGGACACTATCAACTATGCACACAATCTCCACTACCATCTCTGTTCAGATTGTGGCCAAATCTATACTGTGACTCAGATCTTTCCCTCTCCTGAACTTGAAACTCACATATCCAGTTGTTCACTGGATTCTCTATTGCATGACCCTCAACGACATCAAACTTATCATGGCCAAACTGAATATTCTTACCTACTCCCACTGCTACCTAAAACTTTCTTCTTCTTCTGTGTTTGCTATTCAGACTAATGGTACTGGCATCCACCTAGTTACTAAGCTACACATTGCAGAGTCAGCCTTGACTCTTTCTTCTCTTTCATCTCATATCGATTATTTCACTATGTTCTATTAAATTTCCTTCTTTTCTTTTTTTAGTCCCATGGCTACTACCTTACTTCAGGCTCTTATAGCCTTTCATGATTTTAGTGTCTCCCTGACTGGTCCTCGTTTATATAAATTTATGTCCTCCCAATCCATTATCCTTACTGCCACCACTGTGACCTTTCAAATTGCACACCTGATCATGGCAGTCCCCTACTTTCAACTTCCTATTGCTACCAGATAAAATGCATAATTGAGGCTGCGCACAGTGGCTCATGCCTGTACTCTCAGAACTTTGGGGTGTTAAGGATTGCTTGAGCCCAGAAGTTTAAGACCAGCCTAGGCAACATAGCAAGATCTCATCTCTACCAAAACAATAAAAAATAAATTAGCTGGACATGGTGATGTGTATCTGCATTCCCAGCTACTTAGGAGGCTGAGGCAGGAGGATCACTTGAGCCCAGAAGTTCAAGGCTGTGGTGAGCCATGTTCGTGCCCCTGCACTCCAGCCTGAGTGACAGATTGAAACCCTGACTCAAAAAAAAAAAAAAAATTTGAGCCGGGCTCCATGGCTCAGCCTGTAATCCCATGACTTTTGGAGGCTGAGGTGAGTGGATTGCCTGAGCCCGCGGGTTCGAGACCCACCTGGGCAACTTGGTGAGACCTCATCTCTACAATAAATCAAAAAATTAGCCGGGCGTGGTAGCGCATGCCTGTAGTTCCAGCTACTTGGAAGGCTGAGGCGGAAGGATCGCTGGAGCCCAGCAGGTCGAGGCTGCGGTGGCCGGGAGCGGCCACTGCACTCCAGTCGGGGCGACAGAGTGAGACTCCAACTCAAAAATAAATAAATAAATAGATAGATAGATAGATAGATAGATAGATAGATAGATAGATACTGCACTCCAGTCGGGGCGACAGAGTGAGACTCCAACTCAAAAATAAATAAATAAATAGATAGATAGATAAATAAATTTGGTTGGTCTGACCCATTCCCTCTTGGCCATCTCTGTTTCTACTTACTCTCTCATTCCCAGCCTAGCCTGAACCATTAACCAAACTACTTAAGCATTCCTCCCCTGTGCCATGCCTCCTTGCCTGTGTATATGCTGTTATGTTGCTCCCTCTGCCTTGGATGTCGTTTCCTCCTGGTTCATCTGGCAAATGCATGTCCATCTGTTAAGACGCACTGTTTAGTTGTCTCCTCCCCTCTGGTTATCTTTTGTGCCTTTGTTGTAGCTGGTGTGGATTTTCACTGTTTTATTTATCATTGATTTGCAGTCATGCATTTAAATGTCTGTCTTCTTTGTATTCCCAGTGCACATCATAGTGCCTCTTGTGCAGTCACTCAGTAGTTATTGGTTAGGGGTTCAGATGAATGAATGAGTGAATCAATTAATGTCCTTCTTCCTTGCCTGAGTAAATGCTACTCTTTCTTCGAGGCTCAAGTTTCCCTGGCTCCTGCAAAAGGATATAGTTACTACACATTATTTTATAACAGCAGTTTTTCCACTGAATTGTAATTATTTACCATTGTTTACCCTGACTTGTTTGTGAGCTCCTCAAAGGCAGAAACTGAGTCTCATCTTTGTATCTCTAATACCTATCACATACCTGGCTTATGGGGTACCCAAGTGTTAGAATGAATAAGTAAATGATCAATATCTATCATTACCAAATTGCTCAGGCTGAATAACTGCCCAGATCTTTACCTCATTTTGATTGTATAAAAACCTGACCTAAGATAGGCTAGCCCTTCCATCTTAAGTTAGGAGGATTTGTGGTTATAAGACTAAAACAGATCATTATCAGATCTGGAACTGGAATACAGAACTGTTCTTTTTGAGCATAAATTCTTCCTCCTGCTCACTTCTTCCTCTGAGAATTGATCCTTGTTTTCTTCAGAAGTTTTGTGAATTTAGAACTTCCTTTGGTTTTCTTTTTACCCTGTATCATGGATTGTTTTCCTATTAGGTAAGCACACCTTCTCTTGCATTTCATTATTTTCTTTTTCATTCCCCATAGAGGATGCCAATATTATGAGAATAAATTAATATATCCCAGTAAGAACAGGTTTTCTGTGCTTAAGGGATAGTATTTGGCACATCTTTATTAACCCAACATGCTATGTAAAGGTTGCTTATGCTTTTTTGCCTCTTGTCTTCACAGGCAGTGAAGGTAGAAAAAGCCAGTGTCTTAGTCCATTGTTCTGATGGGTGGGACTGCACAGCACAAGTCTGCTCAGTGGCCAGCATCCTCCTAGATCCATTTTATAGGACATTCAAAGGACTCATGGTAAGATAGCATGTGATTATATTTTACTTTACATGAGTGACAGACTGTGAAAAAATCAAAAAGAACTCTCAACCAACTTGTTTTTTTGCAAGTATGAGCTCTCAATCTACAAAAATAGCCCTGCTTTTAAATTTAGCTTCTTTCAGTTGAATAAAGTGTTTGCAGTCTATAAATGTTCTTTTGTACAGTGAACATATTTCTACCTATCAGAAGGTAAATTGCATGTAATAGGCTTTTGCAAGGAGTAGGAAAAGCTCAAAGAGTTTGCAAAGCTGAATGGGTGACTGTTAAATAAATAGGCTACCTGATGTGCTCGTCATCTTTAACACATCAGCTGTTTGAATGTTAAACTCATAATTGTTTTTTACTGCTGAATCCAAAACTTCTCAGTTGATCTTTCTAAGAAATAGAACTCACAATAGTGGCTTATCCTCATTTGTTCAGAAATTTTTTTAAATGTTCCAAAATCATTCTGTTATTGGTATAAACCCAAATGCTGGGTTTGGATTTCTGTTTTTCAAAGATTGAATTTAATATCATGCTTCTCAGGATTGCATTTAGTTATGGCCCAATGATTTGTCATGTATCATGCAAAGGCCAAAGGAAATGTGACACTGAATACAAATACAGAATGATTTCTTTTGAAAGCATCTGAAATTTGAAGGCAGCCTGTACAGGCCTATAAATTAAATCAGTTACTTAGTTATCATTTGGGAAATTAACTTTATTTTATGATCAGTTCAACCATTTTAGCTAAGTGTTCTGACATTCTTGTGTGTATGGTTAATTCATGTTATGATTTTCCTAATGCAAACTCTTCTTTTTTTTTTTTTATAAAATGAAGATCCTCATAGAGAAGGAATGGATATCCATGGGACACAAGTTTTCCCAAAGGTAAAAATATATTCGTTTTGAGGGCGGGGGCTGAGGAGAGTTCATTAGGGTGAAATATATCAAAACCCCAGTATGCTCCTGTATAGGAAGGAGCAGTGAGTTAAACATGTCATAAATCTCTTTTCATCAAGAAACAAATGTTCCAGATACTATGCTAGGGCACTAAGTTTACAAAGGTAACCAGAATATTATCTCTGCCTTCAAGGAATATAAGTATTTATATCAGACTGTTAAATATTGCAGGGAAGGACAAGGTATCACAGGTGTCAGAGGGAAAAGTGCTTAATTCTGCATGAAGAGGTCAGGGTAGGCTTCCAGAAGTAGGCAGCATTTAAGGATGAATTTTTGGAAATGAATAGAAGTTTAATAGTTTGCTATAAACCAAACAGCCTTACTAAAACTTTATGTATGTTATCAGAACAATCAATAAATATTTGCAAAATACCTAACAATGTGCTGTATACCATAGCAGGTCCCAAAGCTAAATCAAATGTAAGTTTTACTCTCAAGGAGGTTATAATTCAAGTCTTATTTTCTCTCATTGGTGTGCATTCATTTAATTTTATTTAATTGCCACTCTCTAGACATTTGGGCCTATCCATTTATTCTTCCTTCATCAATAAACACTGGACCAGTCAATATGTTGGGAATTGGGGAGACTGAGTTAAATATGGTCTCTGAGTTCCTTCTTTTATTTATTTATTTTTATTTATTTATTTTTTGAGTTGGAGTCTCACTCTGTCGCCTAGACTGGAGTGCAGTGGCCACTCCCGGCCACTGCAGCCTCGACCTGCTAGATTCCGGCGATCCTTTCTGCCTCAGCCTTCTGAGTAGCTGGAATTACAGGCATGCGCTACCACGCCTTTCTGAGGCAATCCAATCACCTCAGCCTCCCAAAGCGCGGGATTACAGGCTGAGCCACCGAGCCCAGTTGAGTTACTTCTTTTAAAGAAAAGAAAATAAGTGATGACAGTATAGTATGATAAGTGGTAAGACAGAGGAACACATAAAGGCAAAGAAAGCTTCCTGGAATAGGTAACATTTTTTTAACTGAGCTTTAAAGTATGAGTATCCTGCGCCTTTGGGAGGCTGAGGTGAGTGGATTGCCTGAGCCCGCGGGTTCGAGACCCACCTGGGCAGCGAGACTTCATCTCTACAATAAATCAAAAAATCAGCCGGGCGTTGTAGTGCATGCCTGTAATTCCGGCTACTTGGAAGGCTGAGGCGGAAGGATCGCCAGAGCCCAGCAGGTCGAGGCTGTGGTGGTCGGGAGCGGCCACTGCACTCCAGTCTGGGCAACCGAGTGAGACTCCAACTCAACAAAAAAAAAAAGTGGGAAAGCATAAAAGCATTAAATAGGATGACGTATTTGAGGAACTGCAAGCAATTCAGTATGGCTGATTCATAGGGTGTATAGGGAGAATAGGGGAAATGAGGCAGTGGGAGGTGGGCAGTGAAGAGAAGATCATTCAAAGCCCTGTTTTATTTTTTTGTCTTTATTTCTTTTTTGAAGCTAAAAGGTTTGTTTTATTTTGTTTGGTACAAGTAAACCTATATTGGAGGACTTTGAACAGGGCAGTGACGTAATGATCAGATCTGTATTTTAGAAGTATCCCTCTGACAGCAGTGTGGAAGATTGCAATTGGATGCACAAGGATGAGTTAGAAGGCTATCAGAATTGTTGAGTGTAATGGGACACATACAAGGGTTTTCAAGAAGTAGAACTGACAGAACCAGGAAATGAGAGAAAAAGTCTAGTAGAACTGAAAGTGCCTGTCTTTAGTAACTGGGTTTACTGAGATAGAGGATACATGATGATAGAGGGCAGGTTTTAGGGTAAAGATGGTTTCAGTTTGGAACGTATTTGGCATGTGATATCCGAGAGGAGATGTTCAGTAGGGAGACTCTTTAGTACTAATCTGGAGCTCACCAGTTTTGAACTGGACAGAGAGGTTTATAGGTTTGAGAGTTACCTGTATGTAAGTTTAAACCATGGATTCGGATAAGGCAACCCAAAAGATTGTATATAGAGGAAGAAGAGCCAAGGAGCAGGACTGAGCCTTCGATAATACTGACAATATGAAAGTCTAGTCAAGGAAGGAGTCTGTGCAGATGGCTGTGAAAGTGTGATTGGTGAGATAGGAGTAAATCTAAGGCTAGGAAAGGAAACAAATAGAGAAGAATCTCAAGTGAATAGTCAGCAGTGTCATATGCCTCAGAATAACCCAATAATTGACTTGGGCAATATGCAGATCCTTAGGGATAACCACTTGAGAAACTGGTGGAAGCAAAAGCCAAATGGTAGTGAACGGAAGCATAAGCAAGAGATAAGGAAGTAGAATGTAAGAATAAATCTCCAAGAATCTAGATCCTGAAGGGCATAGAAGAGAAGCAGTGATACCTAGATAGGGTATGGGCTTGAAGACGGGTATTTCAAGACAAGAGAGGTTTGAGCAGTTTCTTGTGCAAAGAAGAGAGAAACATTAAAGAACATAAGATCGAAAATATGAAAGAGAGTGAGTTTTTGGTGGAGTAAGTCTTTTGAGCCAACAGGAGGGGGTGAAAGCTCCAGTACAAAAAAAAAGATTAGCTTGAGCTATAACTAAGAACACCTCTTCCATGGAGACTGGGTGGGAAGACAGGCGGGGAAGGAACTAAGTGTTTGACTGTCAGAGACAATAGTTAGATCTTTACTTGATGGTCTTGATCTTTTTCAGTGACATTGTAGACATCAGTGTGAAGAACGATATGAAATGTTAGGAGTTTGAGAAGATAGTTTAAATTTTGCAAAAGCTGTAAGGGTAATGGGAAAATGATGTTAAGGACATACATAAAGATTACTTGAGAAATTAAGTCCCAGCTGAGTGTGGAGACTTAATTTTAAATGGTGTGAAATTTTATGGTTTTATAATTTTCTTGAGCATTATTCATCAGGTTGAGGGGGCAGAGAACATAGATCTGTGGTTGGATTTTGAAGGAGAATAATGACAAGAAAGGCCAGAAAATTGAAGAAAAGCAACTGATGGGACAGTCTATGGAGTCTAGGCTGGATAAGGAAGAAAGGGAAGCTAGCAGGAATCTGGCATGCGAAGAGGTCCTGAGATGAGAACTAGAGAAGATAAGAAGATGAGCAGCCTTTGGAAATATAATATATAGTGTTCAGAGTGGGATATTGCAATTAAGATTTCAAAAGGTGTGGAGTAAGAACTTCTAGGTGAATTGAAGAACTATAGTTTAGAAACAACAGTAGGAGTTTAGGTGTTTGTGAGCCAGGTTGCAATTATATCAGAAGGTAGAGAACATTCAGCATAGAAGTTGAGGGAGTCATGTAGGTTCCAAGTGGAATAGTGTTTCCAGTAGACTGGTTGGTAAAAAAGGAATTATCGGGGAGAAAAACATAAAATAGTTCTGGGATGAAGTTTTATTCATGCATTTAATAAAAGTTTCTTAACCCTTTTCCCGTGTACCATGAGAATACTCGCTCTTAGTGCTTGCGGCTATACCATTTACCCCGAGATAACTCACGGATTACAGTCCTAACCTCACCCCTAATGTTTGCCACAAAATATATGGCTTTTATTATTATTTTCACAATACTCTAGTATAGTGATAGTCTGTTTTTAGTAGTGGTATTTCCGTTTACAAAATATAGTAATTTTCTTCTTCTTCTGGGTAATTCTCAGTAGGATTAGAGACAAGTTCTGTTTAGAAATATCTACAAGAACAGTTCTTATGTTGTATTTTCACATTAAAAACCAGTCATATTTGCTTCAGCATCAAAGAGCATGTTTATATAAAATTAAATGAATGTGGCAGTGAGCTGCACTTTTTAATTTTCTAAATGGGAAATGGGTTAAATACCTATTTTGTGACAGTCACTGTGCAGTAAGCAACATATATATGGTCCTTGCTCACATATAGCTAAATGTGGCTATTTAAATTTAAATTGATTAAAATGAAATACTATTAAAAATTCAGTTCCTCAGCCACAATAGCCACATTTCAAGTGCTTAACAGTTAGTGACTACCATATTGGACATTACAACAACAGAACATTTCCATCATTGCAGAAAGTTTTGTTGGAGAGAGGTTGTAAGACAAAATAGACTAGATGACCAAGGGGTTTACAGTTTGGATGATAGTGAAGGATACCAGTGGCTAAGAGGTCTACTGTGTTTAACTAGTTTTGAAATTCTGGCTGGCATTTTGATATGAGGCGCTTCCTTGCCAATGCCAACAGAGACAAAAGGTGACCTTGTTATAGTAATCCAAATAGTGTAATCCCTGATGCTAACCAGTATCTTTCTTTACCTTTATTTGCATCTCTCAGGTGTGGCCACCTGGATGGGGACTCTAAAGAAGTATCCCCTATCTTCACCCAGTTCCTAGACTGTATTTGGCAATTAATGGAACAGTTTCCCTGTGCCTTTGAATTTAATGAAAACTTCCTGCTGGAGATCCATGACCATGTTTTCTCCTGTCAGTTTGGAAACTTCCTTGGAAACTGCCAGAAGGACAGGGAAGATCTAAGGTGAATTCAGTTTGTAAGAATATGCTGAGTAGGGAGAAGGAATGAGTGCAAAAGAAATTACCCACTACCTAGAATTTGGGATAGCAGTCAGGAAAGGGGAGGAGGTAACAATAATAAAAAGAACCATTGAAGCATAAAGCACTCATTGTTTGCACAGGTATTTCCCAGAACCTAAGGTTCCTCATCATCTGTAAAATAGGAATAATAATGCCTCCTTTTCAGAGCAATCATGAGGAACCAAACAATGGATGTGCAAGGGCTTTGTTAAGAATCAATTGCTGTACAGGTATGAGTGAGTAGTCATTATCTATAGTCATTTTTCTCACTCATATCAGAGATCACAAAATGGCAGCTCACGGACTGAACCTGACCCAAGCGAAATGGTTTGTTTAGTCTGTGGAGTATTTTTTTTTAAACTGTGAATTTGTTGCCAATATTTAAATGTCAGGAGATTTCACATAAAAATCAGTTGTTTTAGGATTTTTTTTTCCTAAATAAAAAAGCTGCTGTACCAAGATATTCTGGGAAAAATCAGGAGCTCTGGCAACATTGTACCTGCATTTTCTCACGACAATAATCAACTAGAGCGTAATAATAGCTGCTGCATTTGGATGAGGCAAACTCACTCTTGCTGGCCACGGTTCTCAGCACTCTATTATTACTCCAACCCCACTTTGAATATTTTCTGCCTAGTTCCTGTAGGCCATTGAGTTTGCATCCCTGACTTAAACTATCAGCCCCACAATATACAAAACACAAGTTCTTTTTGAAATTGACAAGATAGAGTACCTGTGAGCAGTATTCTCCTTATTTTAGAGACACAGAACAAGAAATAGACAGGAAAGTAACTATTTCACAACCCATTCCTGTTTCACAGCTGTTGGCCAAGTTAGTAGTTAGCCTAACTTCTCTGGCCACTTTATGGTGTAGCCTGGATAAATTACATCTCTGTGAATCCATTTTCCTGTTAACACAGAGAACAGTGACGAGTCTTTCTGCTTTAACATTTGTACTTATTTGATAGTACACGTGCACATTCACTAGACCTTTGTTACTGTCCCCCCAAAGGCTTTTTTTTTTTTTCATTAATCAGTATTATTTATTATGGTTTTGTGGGGTACAGTTAAGGGTTAGGTGTCCAATTACGTTTCATTCAGGCACCCTGTTGATAAGAGGTGTTTTCCCATCCCCCGACAGATATTTGCTACTGTTAATCCCATCCCCCTACCCCCCATAGTTTCCCAGTACCATCAGTCATTTTCTTATAGTATTGCATTGGATGTTCAAGGTCCATTATATGAGTGAGAACATGTGATATTCGGATCTTTGTTTCTGTGAGAGGTCACTCAGTATTATAGACTCTAGTTCCATCCAGGTTGCAGCGAAATTCATGATTTTGTTCTTTTTTATGGCTGCATAGTATTCCATCGTGTATATGTACCACATTTTTTTAATCCAGTCCTCTTTTGATGGGCAGCATGGTTGTTTCCAGGTTCTTGCTATTGTGAACAACGCTGCGATAAACATACGCGTGCAGGTATCTTTTTTATAGAGTGATTTGTGTTCTTCAGGGTATATTCCCAGTAGGGGGATTGCAGGGTCATATGGAAGGTCAATTTTTAGAGCTTTTAGGAATCACCAA